AATCAATGTTTGGGTTTTTAAAGCTTAGGAAGTCAAAGCTTGAGAAGTCAAAACTTGAGAAATCAAAACTTGAAAAGGCAAGCGCCTTGGTTCCTCAAAGCTTGAGAAATCGAGGCCGCAGTTTCCGAAGCTAGGAAATCAAGTCTTGCTTTTCCAAGGTTTTGGAAATTGAGGCGTGGATTCTCGAAGTTTGGGAAAACGTGAGCTCCGGGGCGTAAATCGTCTTCACGGAACAGTGATATCGGTATACAGAGACCAACTGCAGGGAGCATCCCGGAATCGTAGCAAACCGAGAGAGGTGATGTTGCCAACGGATCCGGGGCGGTGCACGACACCCGGAACTCTACGGTGAGTCAACTATGGGAGCTTACGTTGCTCGCGTATCATAAATTATACGCGCTCTGTGCACTCGCATGACGTGTGCACATGGCTGAACCTTTGAAAGGACTTGACAAGGGGATGCATGAACTTGGTTGCACATTGTACGGTGATGAAAGTGATGGGAGAGGGACGAGTGAGTAAAGTTAAGGAATTGATAGAAAGGAAAATGTCCAAATGCGAGTTTAGCAGCTTGAGTCTATTATTAACCCTGCCTAAAGTGAAAGTCTGATAAAATAATTCTCAGGTATGGGTGTACTCGATATCAAGAAGTTTATTCGTACGAAGGGATCGACGATCGAAGAATTAGATTTCACGGAAAATAGGAACATGGTCGCGATGATGGAAAACTTCCAATGGAGCATACGGAAAGCACTGCTACGGCTGTTGAGGGTGGATTTCTTTTGTGTCGGAACCGTTTTTCTTGATACGCTTTGTCAGAGACAGAAGGCGGCGGAGGTGGAGCGGCCGAGACTACGATATCAGAGAAACAAAGGGGAAAGAAAATAATATAAAAAGGAAGAGAAATGGAGCGAGGAAAGGGAGTGAAAAATGAAAACAGGTGCAGAGGGAATACTGCAGAAAGGAAGACAAAAGTGGAGGTACAGGGAGTGAAAAGAAAGAGACGCGAGATATTAGATACGGAAAATGCGGAAACGAGAAAGGATAGCGCGGAAATAAGGGAATAGGTCACAAAGACGAGAGAGAAAATTGTCTGCGACTTGTGACACTCTTCTGGGACACTATTAGTATCTCGTAATGTACGTGGCGTGGCATAATATATTCATTTGGGCACGTGCGAATGCGTGTACGTGACGCGAAAGAAGCGGAAGCGTTTGAAATTGTTTTTCGTACGTTCTTCTTTTGACATTTAACAAAATTTAATTCGTCCAACCGTACCGGAATATTTTCCACCCTTGCTGAATCCTTCAGCACTTTTATCTACGTATCACCCGAGACAGTTACCAATCCCTTCGTTCGACATTTATTTTCAAAATATCCAAATTTATTATTGACTGTATATACACCCTGTATATTCGCACTCTAAAATCCAGTAATGGTAACAAGTTAGTCCAGTTATTTGTCAGATAGGCCGTGTAAGTATAGCGATACGCAGCAGCGGAGGACAGTCACGGACTACATCCACTCCCCGTTTCCTTTCAAGGGATGTCTCTCATCCGCTCTCTTATCTATCGACCTTCTCCCCCTTCCCCGCTATCCTTATCGTCTCGGATATCGCACGACCACTCGACGAACAAGGAACATCTTCCAGAAACGGCCCGACGCGAATTTCGTCGACGACAACTCCGCCTGTTCGTGTCGGGGAAACCTTCCGCCGAAAATTTCGGGAGGAAACGCGATAAGGATCGCGAGAAACGATTCGAATCCGGGCCAAACGATCGCTGCCACGTCGGCAGAGCGTGGAGATACGCGTAAACGAGGCCTTCCTCGCTCTTGGCGATTCCTGACGACGCCGAAGGCAAACGTTCGAACTCGATATCGCGAACACCCGGACCGAAGGGATGGAAGAAAGAGAAGTCTGCTATTTTTCTACCAAAGGAAATCGGTTACCCACGTTTGACGATTCCCAGAGAGTTTCCACGGGGACAACCGTGTTAGGCGAAATCGCGTCTCTTCGATCGCATCTAGGCTTACCAACTCAGCTCTCGAGGGCTGTAGGCAGCCGTGCTGTTTCGATGTCAAGGCTTTTTTTGGTGAGAATTGCTATGTCAGATTCTGTGTAACGGTTTATTTATTATTTTTTGTCCACGAAAGTGAGGGACTTCAATTCGAAATGTTGCTCGCTACGCGCGTGGACGATGTACAACAAGTAAAGCTACGGAATTGAATCGCTCATCAATTAACATTACTGATTCTTGAACTTATTACTATACCGAGTTACATCAGCAATTCAACAGTTTCCTTGGAGATAATTTTTTCAGGAACTTGTAATTTCGAATCGAATATAATCACGTAAGTTTTGTCCCGCTAGATCGCTGAAATATCACACCGTGCGCCCTCTTCTTTATTTGCTGTTCTTTTCACGCCATGCAACGGGACATATTTATTCAGTTACTATTCATCCATTTCATCGCCTCACAGCATTTTTCGCCATGTAACGGGACATGAATTTCGGCTGTTCGAAAATAAAATGATTTTCAATCTTAAAATGAAACAGCACCTTTTACTCGATGAAGTGCGACAGCTCGTAGTTTCATCGTGATAACTGAAATTTCAAAATATTTATTTCAACGCCTTGGTATTGACGCGTTCACTGGGTCGAAATGCTTGCCTTTTTCGTTATTGGAGAATCGAACCGTTAGCCAATGCGGGATGTAATTAAACAGGGAGTCGAACAAATACAGAGACACGATCGTGAAGAACGATTTCACACACTGAAGTGTGTGCGTTATATTAACGTGCATTCATGTCTCTATTTTCCCCGCGGTGGTAATAAAATCGTAATGGATATACGAAATTCACGGAATTTCATATATTCTTGTTGAAACGGGAACGGTGCGTTCGTTTTCTTTCTTCTTTTGATTTACGATCGTCAACGCCAAAGGGATTTTGAAAAAAAAAGAAGAATATATTAAATTCCCTTTCCACCGTAGTTCTCGCGCAATGAATTGATCGTCCGCTTCATCGTCGATCGCGTTATTTATTTTCATTATTACACCGAGAGTACGAGCTCGACCCAAATGAATACAATTTAATTGATTTATTCGTGCCCTCTCCTCCATACGCGCGGCAGGAAGTGTCCAATTGAAATAAACAGAGTTAATTTTATTCGACGAATAGTGGATAAATATATCTACTTAAAGTAAATTTATTCGACGAATACAGATACTCTTTTTATTCGATCTCCTAGACTTTCTTCAATAGACATAGATGGTGGGAATATATATTTATGGAACTGACTGTATATCATCTTGAAGAACACCATCAAAACTATTTCAAATAATTATGAAATAAAATTGCGTGTTACTTGAAATAATTTATCAATGTTGTTTCATAACTGTCTAGGTCTGGGTTTGGACCTATTATTTTATTTACAATCGTCCAGGTTTTTCCCATAAACAATCGAAAGGCTTTACCGTAGAACTCACGTACGACCTGCATCCCCCTAAATTTCTGAGCACGTCGCTGCAGGCATCTCACCGCGAGTGTTAAGTTGCGTCGCGACGACGCGTCGAGGCATTTTCCACGGGATACGCGTGTCACGCGTTACAAAGGGAGTAAATGTTTACACGTCGTCGGCTCGGGATGTCCAATTATCGCGTCCCGAGGCGTTTTATCTCGCGTGTGCTAACTTTCCAACGATATGCAAAGCGGCTCTATTAATTTTCCACCGCGCTGGGAACAACGCGACTCGGGGAACGCGGAACTTGCGCGCACCTTTGAAATTTCCTTCCCCCAACACCTCCCCCATCCGCGAATAAATATTCAAATCTAGCGCATTATGGAGCGCGTTTCAATTAATTTTTAATAGAGGATTACAGCCGCCGGAGTTCGCCTCAATATCGCGCGTCGTCGTTAGCATAACTGGCTGGCATTATTAACTAACGCTCGGGGATTTTTCTGAGAAGCGTCGCGACTGTTGAACCGTTACCGCGATTACGCTGGAAAATTGCGTCGCGCGAACCTTGCCGCCGGCCATTTTCACGATCAACGAGATCGCCGTGCGCGGAATCGTCCCGCGAGTCGTCCTTGCGACTCGTTTCAGCTAGGTTTTCTGTCGAGGAACATCGTATGAGAATTTTATGTTCCGGACGGATTCTGTGTTGCCACTTGAAGGATGGAAATTATTGTAGGAATAATAATAATAAGGGGGATACGTCTGTGTACAAGTGGTTAACATATTCGCGGCCGCTGACGTGAATTCTTCGCGCTACAAAAATATTAAAAACTCGCCAAAACACTAGGTAGAGCGAGAACGAAATAAGGGAAAATGAGGGGGGCCGTAGAGGCGCGAATCCTCCGCTAAACGTCATCCCCCGACGTTTCGCTAATTGCTAGTACAACACGCAAACGAGCTACTTCTAATTACGCGGTCCCGCTTAATGGGAAGCCCTTAACGAGGGACAAAAGAATCGGTCCGCGAGTTTCGTTGGCTGCGTGCCCTCCCCGCAGCGCGAACACCATTTAAGGGGTGAGTCTGGTCTGACAGCTCTAAAAAATCGACTGTTTTTGCTTAAAATTCTGCCTAACCGTGTGGAGAATGCTTTCGCAAAGGTCTACAGTATACTCCTGGAATCGCAGATTAGCTCTACACGTAAGAATAGAAAAACTTGTCTTCATACAACCAAAAACTTTAAACGCATTTTTCTCGAAACCACGTTTTCCAGGAATTGCAGGCATCTCGCAGTTTTTACCGAATCCTTTGCTTGCCACTACTATATCTATATATCTATATATGCAAATTAAATCTTCAAAAATAAATTATATTTTTAAGTGATATGCATTGAAAAGAAACCTTGGGTGGACCTGATTCCTCCCTTAAATTTGTCCACGTTGTCGTGTCCCCTTTTCCGCTTGTTCCCGACTCGCCTCGAATAATCGCGGCCACGATTAATATCTTCGTTAATTGCTCGATTAATTTGCGTGTTTCTCCTGCGCAGATGACGCTGCAAGTGTCCTGGATCCGACACAGAGACGTCCACTTGCTCACTCTCGGTCGTTACACGTACACGAACGACCAGCGATTCAGGGCGATTCACAAAGCACAAACGGACGACTGGATGCTTCAAATCAGGTATCCGCAGCTTCGGGACTCGGGCAACTACGAGTGCCAGGTCTCCACGACGCCGCACATGAGCCACATCGTGCATCTGAACGTGATCGGTGAGTCCGTTGAAATCATTTCTGATTTATTGATGTTGTCATCGGCAGACTGCAGATTTTTATTAAATAATCTCGTATAACAAACACACGCTAAACGTAACCAAAATGTATGTGCAAGAAACTATCGGGTTGTCCTGAATGTTCATGCCAAGTTTAAAAAAAAAATTCAAACATTAAAGTAAATCCGCATTTAGGTACAATTTTCTTAGATACATAAACAAAGATTTTATTTCGCGTAAAGATCCGCAGTCTGTTAATAAGTAAAATCGTCGCCGCCGTGAGAGCTTATTTTATGGTCGAGAAGACGGATACCTCTAGCATCGTGTACATCACTCGAGGCGAATCTTTATAGCTTCGCGTAGTACATGCGATTCCATTTGTACGAAAGCTCCGTACGTTTCCGTAAAGCACCCCGGTGCAAGTGGGTCGATGCGGAGTGCCGGTGTCTTGGAAGCGAACCATCACGGTCAATTAATTACGGTACGATTTTAATTAAGCGTCGGTACGCGGGGAACGCGCGGCTAATTACAACGTTCTACGCAACAATCAGTTAATTCTAATCTGAATCTGGCCCAGTTCCGCGAACCTAGCACGATATTTAAGCCAAGCTTAAATACTGGCCCGTTGCCAATTGAACACCTGGGATTGGTTGATACCGATTTCGAGTTAAGCCACGGAGTCGAACAGGGGTTTGATTACGCGAGATTACTTCCGCGACTTGAATTCCGTCCGACTAAAGCCCGCTGTTTTATTCCTCGAGAAAACGGTGCAAGCGTACACGAAACGTTGCGATAACGTTTGTCTTCGGTACAGTTTAGCTATTTCCGTTTAGAACGTGTCCATTTTCCTGCGGAATCCCACGTTACGAGCCACTCGTATCAACCGACAGTCTATGTGTCGCTCGAGTGTTGGTAGTACAACAATTCTCGCTCTTTCGTAACAACGTTTGTAGGTCAGTCCCAGGAGATTTGAAAAATGTTATTATTTTAATTAGACATTTTATTGTGCTAATGGGTGCATTTCAAGCTTTCAATTTACCAAAAACTAATCCAGAGGTGGACGAAAAGAAAGGGCACACTACCGAATGTACATTTTTCCAGTTTCAGAACAAAAATCGACGAGGAAAATGAACGATTACATAGACTACATAGAAATTCATTTACAATCCTATGCTAAAATTTCGAGTCTATAGAACTTCTTTTGCAATGATTCATGTAATAATAAAACGCGTCCCTTGAGCAATTGCAATCAATTTGAACTACGAGACATCTCGTAGTTGGCAGTGAATGGGTAAAATATATTTTATTAAATTAATTTATCCATTTCATTATCTCGCACAAAATTTTCAATGTCAAGATAAAATCAGGGCAATTGCTAAGGAGTAATTAAACGTCCCTGACCTTCTGCTTATTTCGAATATAATTCTTTGTTGTACAGCGCGAAAGAGTAGGGGACAAAAGAACTCGCGATACGCGAACCGATAAGAAGCTTGGAAAAAAGCCCACGATGCGGTGGCAAAAAGTCGCGTTAATGAAAAATAACGCCGCCGGGATCCTTATTAGTGTTTTCATTAACCTTTATTAGCGCCACGGAGGGTTGAGAGAACCGTCTCGCTCCCCTAATTTTAACTACGTGACCGTATTAAAGGCAAAAATGTGAACAATGGTATTACGCTGTGCCGGAGTTGCGTTTATAATGTAAATCCTCCCTTTGGGGGCGGCTTAAAGAGCCATTATTAATGCACATCGTGCATGCGACACGAATGATGACACGTTCAAATATTAACGAGTCCACAGGGTGATTAAAGGAGCAGGGTTGAAAATGGACGCAAAGCAAGTGTACCTATCTTTCACGCTGATCCAGTCATCGACACTTTGAATGTATTTTCTTAGAAAGGTGGAAAAAAGTCGTGGGAAAAAAATACATTTATCCACGACACTTGAAAAAATATTTCATACATCAACCCTTTCAGTGATGAACTCTTGAGAAATGCCAGACGATTTTAAGCAAAGATGCATGATTGTAAACACAAAATGCTCCTTGTCACTCAAAGGGTTGACATTAATACATACAGTGGTTTGTTTGAATTGGAACACGTAGGATTGTTACGGATGAAACAAACGTTCAGCTGCTAGGAGGTATCCAGCCACCGAAGGCCTTCTCAAACTCCTTAGCGACTGCTAAACAAAGACGGTCCTGGCCGTTTCCAGCTACCACCTGGAACAGAATTTTTCGATAAAAGAATATTTCAAATAATGGAGGAAATATAAACATTGATTTGTGAATGCGCGATTTTGTGTGGTAAATTTTTGAAATAAATCTAAGAATATTAGCAAACAGAAATCAATGTTTTACATTCAGAAAAAAGTGTTTTAAATTCAGTTTAAATTCTGAAAAATGTTTTACATTCAGTTTTACATTTTACATTCAGAAAAAAGAGTAGCCCCGTAACCGCCTACCGCATGACTCATACCTAATTACAGAAGAAAGTCCTTTTAAGCACGGTTCAAATTTCAGAGACCAACGTCGCGACGCCTCGCATATCAATGTCTTAGCGTCAATATCTTCCTTCCGTCTTACTTAATTTTCTTTCTCGTGTTCTTAGTTATCGTTGGTATTCGTATGCTTGGTATTCACTTTTTGTCGATCATTTTACGTTGAGAAACGTATGAAATTTTTAATTGACAAAGATGGTTACGCGATAGTCACTGGTATGCAGAATAACACATTTAAATTTCAGAAAGATCAATTAGATAGATTCTTTTTTAATTTTGACCATCAGATGGAAAAATAATGTCCTGAGAAAAATGCGTTCAATGTTTCAGGCGTGCTTGATTTCACTATAATATTCAACTCCCCAAATTTTAATTTTGCATTTTGAAATATATTTACACGCCAGAAAAATCCCTTAAATATACATTTTTAATGGAAACGTCTCACCTTCGACGCCACAGGATTCCTTGATGGTAATTGGCACTCCATAAAGCGGTTGTTCCGTTTCCAGCGTATCAGCGTTCACTTCTCCTCTTTCCAGTTTCTCGTCGCAATTTTTCGCGTCTCTTATGGCCCCCTCGAACCGTTCCTCCACCACTGCATTTAGGAAAGGATTCACCTCCTTAATACGCTCGATATATGCTTCCACTACGGTTTGGCTGGAAAGCTTTTCCCATTATCGGAGTTAGAAACGATCGATTTCTATAAAAAAAAAGCGACGCAAGCTGGGACAGAATCGCGGAAAAATCTGTCCTGTTTCCGTTTTTCGTTCTTTTGCCAGATGATTAATTGGACGTAATGGGAAATCCATGATATTTGTCATGATAATTTTTATGTTTAGGGAGGTTGATGATACTTCATTTTTTTTTTAAATAAATCAATGGCTTGTGGAGGTTTTGGAGATATACTTGCGAAATAGCAAATTTCGATACCATTCACGTTCGATCAAAGAAACGAAATCCTAAAGTCCTACTTAAAGAAACCTTTATTATCAATTATTCAGCGTTTAGCCAAAAACACGACGAGATTGAACGATTAATAACAAATATATTTTTACTTCTCCGTTCCTAATCTTCCTGGCTAACGTCGTTGCGGAAACTTGTAACAAGGGATTCTTGATCGGCGGTAGATTTGGCAGTCTCTTGATGTTAATCAGTTTATTTATAGGACGAAGGAAAAAGAGCAGCAGATGTCCAACAGCTGCGATCGTGTTAGTTATATTCATTCTCTCCATTTAAACAAATATTAAACTTGAACTGTTCACTGTCGAGCTGCACGCTTCAAAACTGAGTAACGAAGGAATACACTGATTGTTAATTCGGAAAGTAGTCACGCTATAACGCTTCGAACACTATAAGCAGGCACGCGTGTCACACTTCGTTAGACACGAAGCTAGACTGATTCCGAGTTTACAATGCGGACAGTACTTTTCGAAAACAGAAAACGTTCGATGATTATCCATCCAGCGTTATGAGTTTACATACTAATGTATTGATTACAATGCTAAAAGAAGCAAAACAATTGTTAGAGTAGTGCGATCGGGTACATTAGTCTCCGTAATAAGCAGTACATGTTAATGCGACTTGTCACAATTATCTCGCTAAACTTAATTTGCATGATATTCCGCTTATGCAACACTCGACTGCCACGTGAAGATAGCCATAAAAGTATAAGAACCATAAAGAAATGCAAAGGTCGGCTTTAAATTGTTTACGAACACCTATACATAAATTTCGATTGGCATTCAAGCGGAATCAATCTCGCACAGCCTGTTTTATCTGCTTCCTGAAATCGTTTCCTTGTCTCCGATACACCGCCACAACTGCTCCCGTTTAATTGTTTCCTTTGTCATTTGAATTTTCTTGGCCTTCTTTGCGCCCGCTGCTTTTATCGGCCCCCGCAGACAGTGTACCAGAGAAACTTCGATTTTCTTATAACGAGTTCCTTTTATCAAGGAGCGCGCGAAACGAACCAGTCGGCGGTTCGCAGCTGCAATTACGAGCCATTTAATACCGCAGCGGTCCCGGCGGAAATAGAATAAAAACGCGTGGAAACGTGGAGAAATGGACGGAAAACCGCGCGCGCTTCGGACACCGACGAATCGTTACCAACTGAACAACGGTTGTCTATAAACCCGCCATTTCTATCCATTAATAACACGTTGGTCGACACCCTACCCAGAAATGAATGACAGGATTCGTCAACACGTTGGCTGCCAGACTAAAACTCAAGAAAATTTCTACGAGGTAAACATTTTCTCTAGTATTATATATCTAGCAGTATTTAATTTTGTAATCTCTCAAAATTTACGAATCCTGCCCAAATTTATTTTAACCCTAAAAATTAAATTACAGTAGTACGAGAAAAAAAAAGAATTCAGGTCTGAAAGGATCAAGTACCGTAGCGAACGATCCAATTCTAAGTGAACGTACAGAAGTAGAATTTACTTGGAATGAAAATAACTCCATAGCAACCGCAAGATTTACGTAGACGTTTCTGACTCGAGCGTTGGAATGTAAAAATGGACTCGGAGCAACTTTCGTAACTATTGGCTCCAGTGTTGACCGATAGCAATACTTCCCCTTTATTGTATTCAACAGCTGCGAAAGTAAAACAACCAGGAAGCAGGGGCGACTAAAATGCGCAGTATTTTCTGGGACACCCTAATATTTCATCCCTCGCGCTCCGAAGCGTGCCTGCAAAGGCTTTCTCCCCGCCCGTTTTCGCGTGGCCCGCAAATTTGCAATATCCATGCCTTCCTGTTGCAACCCCCGCCCCGTTTACTCCCTCCCTGACCAACTTTTCCTGTGTCACTCCATTTCTCACTTTACGACCGCGTAAAAGCTCGTAATGACGTACGTATCCGCCCTCCTGGTGAACTACTTTCGTGACCGTGCGGATATTGCGCGTCGTTCGCCTGAATTCACCTGTTAATTAATAGGGAATAATCGTCGTCGGAGTCGTCGACTACCTTCGACGCACGGATTTCTGGCTGTTGGCTCTTTGCACGCGGATGTCTCCTCTGAGAGGACATCGTGTTCAGAAGAAGGCTAAAACGTACGATTAGAACATCTAGATTAATTTATAGGAAAAGTTCATCTTTACGCTCTGTGTTGCTCATTACGAACAATAATTTCGTGGTGAAACGGTGCTATTAATTCAATAACGCCGAAACATTCAAACCGTTTGAATGTAAATCGAGCCTTTATCTGAATAATTGTCGTTAAAAATTGCAGAAAAGCCTTGTTAATAAGTGAGTAATTTCAAAGAAAAGGTGTAAAATTAATTTAGTTGGTAACTTTAGCGCTAACACGCAAACGAAATCGACTTGAAAATCGTCTAATTTCTTTGATTTCCCTTTTTTTTACTCGCATTCCTTGACAATTCACGATTGCGTCGTTCAACGCCCTCGATCCTGGCGAAGGGAACCACCCGAATTTCGTCGGGTCGTCGGTCGTTAACAGCTTTTAAATATCAGTTACCCGTGTGGCAGTGACAAAGTGCAACATCTGCGAAAGGACAAGTCTCCTTCATGGTCCGACATTAAGTTGACTTGTTCCACTGACAAGACTACATTGTCGCCGCTTTGGCTGACTCGATCCACTTGCAGCTCACCCCTGAAACTTCGTGCTTCGTCGACCGTTCCATATTCGATAACCCGTGTAAGGGAATATAGATAGGAAAACGTTACTTCGCAAAGGACCGCTGACGCGTGGTTAAATTGCAAGTGAAAGAAATACGGTAACGAGTTAATCTTTCGCAGTGTAAGCTGATAATGACGTGCAATTAATTATTATTATAACGATGAACCTCGAGATAGAGAGATGTCTTGAAATTAAGTTTAGTTTGAATGAAGACCAAGGTAACAACCATACATACGAATAATGTTTTAATAGAAAATTATACTGGTTAAATTATACTGTAAATATATTCTTAAAAATTAAATATTTTCTTTTGTGCATTCATTCGGTAGCGTTAATTTATATTCAAACGCTTCTGGATATCTTAGCGTCTAAAAATAATGACGCTTCTTACATATTAAGCGGGAACAATTATTTTATAATTGAATTCCGATAAAATGGTGTCGATCAGTCCGTCGAACAAAATTGTCAGACATCACTTCGACTTCCTTTCATCGTGCACGAGACACGCCAATTAATTAACTCTAAGATTTGTGCACGCCATGCGGAAACAATTATTTTATAACTGAATTCCGATAGAATGGCGACGAACAAAACTTCCAGACGTCTCGTCATCTTCAGAAAAAGAAAATTAATCAGCACAATTTCCACAGCTGTACTACAGCTAACCTCATATTCTTACACCATTGCAACAGACAACGCGTAACATTACCACCCTCAACCCTTACGTTTCTTTCGTCGAATCGCCACGCACCGAAACAACCGCAACGCGCCCCAATGATCCGCGAGTTGAAATTTTAATCTCCGCCGCAACTGTGAAATTCCCGCTACGCATTACCGTTTCGATCCGTCCTTCTCGGTCGGGCATCGCCGCACTCAACCCGTATAAATTCTAATCCGACGAACGGTCGAACGTTTAAAAGCATTACGTTACCAGCCGCGCTCAAAGTGTTCCCGAATACGCTATAATGAGCGAACACGAACGGCAGCGATGGAAAGTGTAACGCCAGATAACCCAGGCCCTTCATGGATCTTCATTAAAATTTCCATTCTCGTTCGGCCGCTGATGCTCGCTGCAAAGTGGACGATGCACGCTACTCCGCGAATCTTCCGATGGCTGATTTCGCATTAGCTTGTATATTCGAGCCACTTTGCATCGCGCAATGAATTCAAGCACGGAAGAAGAATCGTTGAATTTTTGAAGAACGGTTTCCTTCAAGTTTTCTCTGTAAATTTATCGCAATTTTCGAGTATTCCACGCTCACTACAGTTCCATGGTGACCTGTATCAACGTAAAATTCACACGGAATACCCTTTTCCTACCCCTAGAAAAAACAATATACCAAAACTGCCCAACACCCCGTCCAGATTTTTTTCTATCCCTTCTCAGTCGGTCCAACGGTCATCCTATATCTCAGCTCGTTCGCCCCGAAGAATTCACCTCGATAATTCGGCGTTCCGAGGGTCGGTAGAACGTCGGAAGATCGCGCGCCCCACGACCATAGAGTCTTCGTAACAGAAGGGAGTAGACGGTGGGGAGAGAGGGATGAAAGGTAGCGAAAGGAAGAAAGGATCACGGCGGAGAGGTCGAGGAGAATCAGCGATTCTTTGCTCGTTATTTCCGCTCGATCGAAAGCGCGCGTTCGCTGGGTCGTCGTTGACACCGCTTTTCACGTTGGTGCCACCAGCGAAACGCTATTCAGACTAACATAATGCTGGGTTGACGCACGGACACTGTGGAACACGCGACACGTGCGGCGTTGTTGTAGGTTGCACGTGAAACGGCGGTCCATCGACACTCGATCGACCGCGTTTATTATACGCGTCGAAAGGAACCCGGTGAAAAGGAGCCCTGGAAGATTCGTATCGACGCGGACGCGATACGAAGCGGCTCGAGCGTGCACCATTGTCGCGACTTGCCTCCCATTCGATCCTCGCGGACGGACGACCTGTTTCTGCGAAGATAACGCCTCCCGTTGCCTGCACACCGCGCTCAAATGAAAAGGACGTTTGTTGCTTGTTTGAACGTGTGTCTAGCGAGTTGTTAGCGCCTCGTACAGCGAGCCACAAAAGCGGTCGTACTCACGCGACTAGCTGGGAGCTTCAAGCGGTACGTACATTGCTGTCATAAGTATTAGGACATCACCTACCAAATGATATTTATCGCGGCATAGCAATCTTCGTTGCTGTCATTTCCTGGGTTTAGTTGAAATACAGCGAGTCTCATAAATATTCGTATCCTTGTCTAAATTAAATAATAGGTTTGATGTTACCAAATGAATGTTTCATTATAAATAGGTCCATATAAACTGTAAACCTATCATTTGCAGACGAATTCTTCCAATAAACACAGAGGGTACGAATATTTATGGGACTGACTGTACATTCATTTAAATATTTCCTTGAGTTATATTTCGTTTTTGGTATGGAAATAAAGGTTCACATATTTCGACTCGTTTGTTACAGTCTAATTTTGTTCGAAGTTGTATTTATGCATGACGACACGAAGCACGCGTCACGAAAAAATGAATTTATAAACGGAAGTTTTGATTACAAACAGAATCGTAAAAAAATAACGTCGTATGACAAAATTTCTCGGGCACACCAAAAAGTTATTAATTTCTTTTTTACTGAGTAGCGGAACCTGTTGAAATTTTGATTAACGTAAAAAAAAAAAACTCGTCACTCGGTTGCTACCAAAGCATCATTTTCCAATATGATTTTTTGTTTTCAAATTCAGGATTGGTTACGGAGCTGTGCAATTGGCGTAT